TATAGATAAGTCAAGGAAGCTTCCATCTGATTGTCTTTGTAGGGAATATTGTAGTGAACAACAGAGAAAATTGGTTTTCTGCAAGTGGAACCAGGGACTATAAATGGGAATAATAACAGTTTGCTCAGGAAACAAGAAGGGAGAAGCAGAGATGTGCCTCCTCCATCACAGTAATCCAGAGCAAGTTAAGGCCTTGCTCCAACAACCATCATTTTCAAGAGTAATGTCTCACAGATACAAGATCACTGGAGAAAACAAATTTTCACAAGATCACAGAGATATAAAAGTTAGAAAGCTTCCACGTCTAACATAAACTCTATTTATTGATTTAACAATGAAAGTTGGGAGGGAGGCAATTTTCAGAAATGCAAGATCGACTGGAAGTCTGTGAGGCAGATGTCCCAGCAAATTCTACAGATCTGATATAAACTGTACCTTTTAAACACTAGGGATGGGCTTCTTTCACCTTCTGTTTATTTTCAAATAACTGAGAGACATGTTTGAACTGTTCAAACATGTGTGGTTGTGCACATCACTTTTGCATTTTGTTAAAAAACGAGGGTGGAATGTAAACAGATGACTTCAATCTGCAATAGACCCTGCTCACATTCACTTGGTCTACAGGATGGTATGTCCATTCCATGAGTTACAGGCAAGAAGCAAGAAATGTAGTTTCCCTTTCATTTTTCCTGGTTTTTGCTCGTTTCGTTGGGGAGCCACACGCAATGGTACTCGAGACTTGACACTGCTCTACAGACAGGTCCAAAGTCAAAACCACACATATTCCAGCCCTTTGAACTTTCTCCCTGACTCTCAGCCGCCTGCAGCCTTTCCTGGTTGTCTCCCCTTGACAATTCCTGGGCATTAGATGTTGGGCATTAGATGGTGCTAAACAATTAAAAAGGGCTGCAGATGATTCTTAATTACAATCATCTATTCACCATGGCACTCCCCAAATGAATGTCTTCCTCTTCATCATCTTGGACTTGTCTTTATGCAGTGAAAAACATTTACAAGATATTCATTCTACTTTTCTCATTTTTTCCCAATTCTCTGCTCCCTGTTTCTGTCTGAGGGGTGAAGTTATATTCTAGGTCTTTCTACCTAGATCCCCACACACTGACCTCTGTTGCACACTGTTTCCTTGCTTTGATGAATGAGCTGCTACTTTTCATATCCTCCCCACATCAAAAAAGCAACGTATGTGTGCTTTCACTCTTGAATTTTAACACCTGCATGTACAAGTTCCTTTTACTAAATTCTTTTACTTTTCAAATGTAAGATTTTTCTTCTGAAAGGAATTGTGCATGTGGGGGAAGGCATAAGCCCCCTTCTTCAGGGCACTGAGGTATAAGCTTGGACATTACTCTGTCACTCGTATCTCTCCAGACCTAACAAACACACATTTCTTCCTCAGTAGGAAAAGCTGCTTCTTCTGCCATCTTGCATTCTTCCCATCAACTCTTTTTGGAAACAAGTCAAGTCATAGAGCATTTTAGATTTTAAATCGAAGCAATTAGTCTCTTGCTATTGCAAACGATTACTTCAAAAATAAAAGCTTTCTTATTCCACTCTATTTTTTAAAAACCATCATCCTCTCTGTCACATTATAATATACATTCCCTCAAAGTCTGTTGGATTGCATTGGTTTGTCCTTCCTGCATAGCCTCAGTTAGTTTAGGTTTATTGGATTGCTCCCATCACAGGGCTCCCATTCCTCTGTGTTTATTTGTAACTTCTTTCTTTGTGCTCTGCTAACTTGTATGTATATTATTTTTTTTCTTCTCCTTAAGTACTTTGCATAGTTTATTCAGAGCAATGTCCTTTTTGTAGGGGCACAGGAAGACAGTAGTAAATGCTATGCTTTTGTAAGGTCGTTTGATGCTAAATGAGATTTTCCTCCTGGGCACCTGTTCTCTCGACCTAAGCCTCAGCTGCCCTTACTTCCTAGCACCCCCAAAAGTAGCGTCCTGATGAGGGAGTGGATGGATCTAAGGCAAGGAGTAAGCTATGTGTTACCCTGGCATCAAGATGGGCCTGGCCAAAGTGCCTAATTCTTAACTATAAGATAAGAGCTTGGTCATGAACAAATGCTGTCATGATCTGAAAAGTAATAACTATATTTGGACCCTGCTAGGGTTAGGAATAATTAATCCAGCTGAGCACTGTAGTCTGACTCTGTGGCAAGATGTTCCCAGGAGAACTGCCCTAAAAGCCTCAATGTATCTCTTACTGTGTCCATACAAAATTAACTAGTATTAAGATTTTGATTGACCGAGGAAAGGAGAAAAACACCTTGAGAGGTATTTTGCCCATGGGCAGTCAGAAAAGGCTTTAAATACTCCTAGGTGATGTTTCTGCCTTTGAGCCAGGCAGTCAAGAAGGGTTTTCTTATGTGATTTTGCTACCAGACTGGGTGTAGCACGTACCTAGAGAGCAAGGTGTAGAGAGACAAGTTGGGGTGGAGGGAGGAGTGGGAGACAGGCAGAATCCAGAGAGCTGGAATCGAGGCATGAGGGCTGGGAAGGAAGAGAGCCGAGAGAGACCAGGGAGTTGGAGAGACGAGAGATAAAAAGAGCAGGGCAGCAAGATGGAGTGCGGAGAGACTAACAAGGGAAACACAGGGAGAACAATGTAGAAAGAGACAGGAGCAGGCACGTGGTGAGAGGGAGACCAGGCTGTGAGATGGAGCACGGGGAGATGAGCGGGAGAAACAGAAGGAGACGGGAACGAGGAGCAGTGTGAGACTGGGGGGGGGGGGCGCTCAGAGAGACTGGGGCAGGAGTGTGGTGGGATTTATACAAAAGGCTGTAACGAAGAATGTAGAATAGATCCACACTGACAGTGAAAATTCTCTTTAAAGGCACTAGAGAAAGCAGACAAACACCAAAGCCCAACATGGGTAAAGTGAGAGCCAGAAATCCAGGAGAAACAAAACCATAGTGATAAAATCCAAGTGAACTTAATATACACCCATTTATTTGGCCAGCTTGATTTTGGAATAGCACAAATTCCAGATGTGTGAGTTCCTACAACTCTCTTTAACACTTGGAGATGTACAAAATTTCATTTCATTTCATCATCCTGTTATTCGTCGATTGCCTCGAGCAGGCCCCAGTAACGTCTCTTTCATCCTAGCCCTGAGATTATATTCAAGGCTCTTTAGGAGAATGAGACCCATCTTTGTTACTGGTATTTGGCATATTGGGTACGCCACGGGGAGTTTGCCAGACTCTGCCCTGTGGGCAGGCTACATTCGATAGCCTGCAAGTTTGTCGAAACTAGGAATGAGATAAAAAGGTGTCATAAAAAGATATCCTTATCCACATATTCGCGGCGCCCGGTTCCGGGAGCTGGATTTTATAGTCTCTGAGTCTTGGCCGTTGATGGGATTACACGGCGCCAAGGGGCCAGGTGGTGGGTGTGACCCCCGCCTACTGGAATTTGGAGGATCTGGGTGGAGGATGCTGGACTCCAATCCGAGTAGGCTGGGAGATCTCGGCCCCGGAACCCGTGTGGATTTGTCCCTCTGCCAGTACCTTCATGTGTGCAGAGAGTGGTCTCAGCATGGTGGTGGCTGGTCCTGGAGGCCTTCGGCTGCCGGAGCCCTGGTTGGGGCGGGGAGGAAAGATCAACCCGCTCCCCTCGAAGGGGCCCAGGCGAGGAACAGCCAGGCGCGGGGGCAGAAGACTGCACTGTTCTCGTCCGGAACTGGATTTTATAGTCTCTGAGTCTTGGCCGTTGATGGGATTACACAGCGCCAGGGGACCAGGTAGTGGGTGTGACCCCCGCCTACTGGAATTTGGAGGATCTGGGTGGAGGATGCTCGACTCCAATCCGAGTATCCGAGTAGGCAAAATAGAATTTCAAATAATTCGTTATAAGGTAGTTTATGTAATACTCCTGGAAGAGAAACTGTTAAATTGTTTTGTTATCTATTAAGTTCCTATGAAAATAAGCATTTAAAGCACTCAATACAGTGCCTACTAATATGCTAAATGTCAATAACTGTTAGGTAGTTTAAAAATTCATTCATCAAACCTTCCATGAGAAGTACAATAGAAATGGAGATGCCCACGTCGCACTGGACAGTTTCCTATCTGGCCTCTATATTGTTCCTATGCATATATTTCCTGTCCAGGTTTTCTTCATTCAGTCCTGATCACAGGCCATGCAGTCCCATAGGCTTGGAGAGAGAAATTAACTCCTCCACTTCTTTCCCCTCATTCTTTTTGTCATCTTCTTCTTGAAAGATCCCCATGAGAATTCAAAGCATCTAGCATGTAGGCTGATGGCAGCTCCCAGACCATTCTCCTTTGTTATGAGAAAATGAAATGTCAGCTGCGTGGTCTTGCAAATAACACCAGAATGGGGAAAAAAAAAACACCTTGAGGTAGTACTTGAATTTTTCTTTCCATTTTCAACTTAGTTATCTTAAAAAAAAAAAAACCCTGCCGAAGGAAATAAATAGCCCTCTTTTTCATTTGAGCCACATGAAGTAGGAGCTTGAAGGAGAGAGCCTGCACACCCATCCGCTGGGAGCCCAGAAGGCTGAGTCCCTCTGCCAGCTTGCAGGTAGGTCCCCCAAAGCACCAAAAGCAACGTAGTTCCCCCTCGCAGCCCAGTGCCTCCTATCCCGAAAACAAAAACCTCAAAACCAAAATAAATAAATAAAATAAAATAGTCTTCCAGAACCGCACCTGGAGATCCCTCTTGCTTAGGCTGTTGCACAAAACCTCCAACAACCGCCTCTTAAAGGCAAAATAATGTGCCTTAGCTCAGCATCCCAGACCAAAGCACCGCGGAGAGCCGACGGGCTTCCGACCTGACCCCCGGGGAGACAGACAGACGGACGGACGGACAGACAGACGGACGGACGGACGGACGGACGGACGGACGGACGGACGGACAGACGGACAAACGCGAGGAGTCACGCCCCTTGGGGACCCCAGAGCAAGACCCTCCTCCCTGCTGCCCTTGTCCTGGGCGGCCCCGCTCACCAGCTGCTCCATCGCGCCTGCAGACCGCGGAGTCCCTGGCGCCACCGAGCCTGGTCCCCAGGCAGGACTTGGGAGCAGCATCCAACCAACGCACTAACGGTCCCAACAAAAGGCAACGCTCTGCCGCCCCCTGTCGAAGCTTGGCCCTGCCCCCCCAGGCCCCCCCACGCCTCATCCCTGCTCCTACAAGCTGCGTGGACTTTCAGAGCTCCAACGCCAAATCAAAGTCGAGAAATAACTTGCATTTCTCTCTAAGAATCGGTTTCGAGGAAAATCACTTTTTTTTTTTCTGTAAATAAATAAAGAGGAAATCTGGAGAAGCCCAAGAGGAAGACTTCTTCCCCCGGATGTCCTGAGGACCTGCATTCTGAGCCAGAAGGGGCAGTGGGAGAAATGAAGAATTTTCTTTCCTAGAAATGTGAATTCCCCCCCCCCCCCCCAATGTTGCTATTGAAAATGAAAACAGCTGTTTTGAAGCTGAAAGCAATCAGCAATTATCGGGGGTTTTTTTGGTTTTTGTTTCCCCGCCCCCCCCTCTTTTGGTAACACCCAGCAATGCTCAGGGCTTACTCCTGGCTCTGCACTTGGAAATTGTCCTGGCGATGCTCAGGAGACCATATGGGATGCTGGGACGGGTGCAAGGCAAACGCCCTACCCTTGTGCTATCGCTCCAGCCCCCACATGTGTTTTAATTGGACTCAATGCATTGTTCAAAACATTATTGTCTTTGTTATCCTTCCACTTGTTTAAGATAAAAATTATTATTTTAGCAAATTCCAGCATTCTTGATCCTGAGAGGGGTGTTGAGTTGGAAGAAGTCCGTAAAATTCACCTCCTGAATTCCTATTTGTGCACCTCCGCCCTCTGACCAGGTCCTAGGGCTGTATGAGGGATCACATTATTTTTTTTTGCACTTTCTTTGTGCTCTGGTGTCTAAGGAATCTTGGTGCTTGCATCTCCCACACACCAGGACATGACTTCGGGAGCTGGGAGAGTCCATGCCACTGACATCAGCCTATTCTGAAGAGATTTTAAGACAAGAGTGAAATTACACAGACAGTTTTGTAGGTTTTACCTCCAAAATTTTACCTACAATTTTGTAGGTTTCACCACAATTTTTCTCAAGGTTCTTGTGTCACGGGTTATGAATCAGATAGACCAACTATGAGAGAGGTGACAACCTCAACTTTTATGCCAACATTAATTACAGACTTAACATGAAAGTATAGGAAATATGTCACAAATGTGAGTGGAAAGTCAGGCAAAAAGGTTTAGGAATAATATTACACACAAAGCCACCCCAGGACAGTAAATTAATTCACCTTAACTATGTGTCATGCTCTCCAAAATCCCAACGAATTCCTGAAATATCCTATGTTATTTTTCAATACTTATATACCAATGAAAATGCTTAATTGACAAATTAGATACAGTAAAAGAGCAATAGCGCTAATTAATAATAAAAAGAAAAGACAAGATATAAAAGTTAAATGTATAGAGTCTCTCTGACTCAAAATATTTTATTATACAAAGTTCTTATTCATGTTACAAATGTTTTAGTCACATTAAACTATAAAAATATTTTAAATATCTTATTTATATCAAATTTCAGATCTCATTTGAGTTCAGGGAGTAAAAATGACAAATAATAAAATCCAGAAAAAAGGGTACTTAACAGTACTTTAGTATTGGGGCCCTTCTGTAGGTTCACTAAACAGCTCTGTAACTTTGGGAGAGCTTTTGAATACAGCAAGGTTCAGAAACAACAATAAAATAACTGTACAGATGTAATACCAATTTAGCTATTTATTATATTGTTTAGAGAATAATGTCAAGAAGATACAATACAATACAATCACAACCACCATTGTTCTTATAGCACAATGCCATTTTCTTTTTAAAAAACTTTTTTTGATTGAACAACTGTGATATAGACCCTTACAAAGCTGTTCATGAATAGGTTTTAGTCATACAGTATTCCAACACTCATCCCTCCACAGGTGTACATTTCCCAGCACCACGGTCCCCAGATTTCCTTCCAACGACCACCCCACCCCCTGCCTGCATAGATGGCAGGGGATTTCTCTCTCTCCATATCTCTCCTCTCTCTCTCTCTCTTTCTGTCTCTCTTTCTGTCTCACTTACTCGCTTGTTCTTGCTCTCCCAACTCTCTCTCCTTTTGGTCATTGTGGCTTGCAATATTGGTACTGAGAGGTTATCAATAATATCCCCTTACCTACTTTTATTTTACATGGTTAGGTATTTCATTTCATTTCATTTCATCATCCTATTATTCGTTGATTGCCTCGAGCAGGCCCCAGTAACGTCTCTTTCATCCTAGCCCTGAGATTATATTCAAGGCTCTTTAGGAGAATGAGACCCATCATTGTTACTGGTATTTGGCATATTTGTTACGCCACGGGGAGTTTGCCAGACTCTGCCCTGTGGGCAGGCTACATTCGATAGCCTGCAAGTTTGTCGAAACTAGGAATGAGATAATAAGGTGTCATAAAAAGATGTCTTGATAAGATGTCCTTATCCACGCATTCGCGGCTGCGCAGTTCCGGGAGCTGGTTTTTATAGTCTCTGAGTCTTGGCCGTTGATGGGATTACACGGCGCCAAGGGGCCAGGTGGTGGGTGTGACCCCCGCCTACTGGAGTTTGGAGGATCTGGGTGGAGGATGCTCGACTCCAATCCGAGTAGGCTTGGAGATCTCGGCCCCGGAACCCGCGTGACTTTGTCCCTCTGCCAGTACCTTCATCTGTGCGGAGAGTGGTCTCAGCATGGTGGTGGCTGATCCTGGAAGTCTTTGGCTGCCGGAGCCCTGGTCGGGGCGGGGAGGAAAGCTCAACCTGCTCCCCTCCAAGGGGCCTTGGCGAGGAACAGCCAGGCGCGGGGGCAGAAGACTGCACTGTTAGGTATTTAGGTAACTATATTTTATTTAATACTAACATTTCTATAGCTATTTTTTAATTAGTGAATCACTGTGAGGTACAGTTGTAGAATTCAAACTTTGTGCTTGCGTTTCAGTCTAATAATGATCAATTACCCATCCCTCCACCAGTGCCCATTTTCCGCCACCAATGGTCCCATCATCCCTCCGACCACCCCCACCACGTTCCCTCCACGCCACACTACATCTGTGGCAGGGCATTCCCTTTTGCTTTCTCTCTCCTTTTGCGTGTTGTGGTTTGCAATAGAGACATTAAGTGGCCATCATGTTTTGTCTATAGTCTAGTTTCAGTCCACATCTTCCATCCCGAGCAGGCCCTCCTAGCACCCTTTACTTGGTGGTCTCTTCTCTATCTGAGCTGCATTTTCCCCCAGAATGTGACGCTGGCTTCTAAGGTGTGGAGTAATCCTCTTGGTACTTATCTCTATTTTTTTTTTTTTGCGTGTTAGTCTCCCATTCTGTTACTTTATTTTCCACAAATTTGTGCAGTTTTTCTATGTCTGTCCCTCTCTTTCTGACTCATTTCACTTAACATGCTAGTTTCCATGTTGATCCACCTATATGAAAATTTCATGACTTAATCTTTTCTAACAGCTGCATAGTATTCCATTGTGTAGATGTACACAATGTAAAGTTTCTTTAACCAGTCATCTGTTCTTGGACACTCAGGTTTTTCCCAGATTCCGCCTATGGTAAACAGTGCTGCAATGAACATATAAGTACAGATGACATTTGTACTATACTTTTTTCATCTCTGGAATATATTCCCAGAAGTAGTATTACTGGGTCAAATGGGAGCTCAATTTCTAACTTTTTGAAAATCGTCCATACTCTTTTCCAAAAGGGCTGAACCAGTCGGCATTCCCACCAGCAGTGAAGAAGAGTTCCTTTCTCCCCACATCTGCACCAACACCTGTTGCCTTGTTCTTTTGGATGTGGGCCAGTCTCTGTGGTGTGGTGATGATATCTCATTGTTGTTTTGATCTGCATCTCACTGGTGATTAGTGATGAAGAGCCTTTTTTCATGTGCCTTTTGACCATTCAGATGTCTTCTTTGCGAAAGTTTCTGTTCATTTCATCGACCCATTTTCTGATGGGGTTGGGTGTCTTCTTTTTGTAGAGTTCAACCAGTGCCTTGCAAATCCTTGACATCAACCCCTTATCATATGGGTATTGGGTGAATATCCTTTCCCATTCTGTAGATCGTCTTTGTATTCTGGTCACTGCATCTTTTGAGTTGCAGAATCTTCTCAGTTTAAGATAGTCCCATTTGTTTATCTCTGTTTCCACTTGCTTGGTCAATGCAGTGTCACCTTTAAAGTTGCCTTGATTAGACTATAGACCAAACGTGATTGCCACTCAATGATTCTTTTGCAAACCACAACACCCAAAAGGAGAGAGAGAACAGAGGGGAATGCCCTGCCACAGAGACAGGGTGGGATGAGGGGGATGGGTGGTGGGAGGGGGCCTGGGATCCGTGGTGGTGGGAAATGGGCACTGATGGAGGGATGGGTATTTGGTCATTGTATAATTGAAACCAAAGCACAAAAATGTGTAAGTCTGCAAGTGTACCTCATGATGTCTCACTATTAAAAAAATTTTTAATAAAAAAATAAATAAAATAAAGTTGCCTTTATTGTTACCTTTCCCTCTAAGATCAGGAACAAGACAAGGATGCCAACTCTCACCACTTCTGTTCAATATACTTCTCGAAGTACTTGCAATAGCGATTAGGCAAGAAAAAGATTTTGAGGGCATCCAGATAGGAAAGGAAGAAATAAAGCTCTCACTATTTGCAAATGATATGATAATATATTTAGAGAAGCCTAGACCCTCTACCAAGAAACTCCTGTAAATAATAGACTTGTATAGGAAAGTGGCAGACTATAAAATCAATACCGCAAAGTCCATGGCTTTCCTATACAAACTAATGAGAGAGAAGAAAGTGACATTAAAAAAAAGCAATCCCGTTCACAATCATGACTCTGAAAATCAAGTACCTCGGAATCAACTTAACTAAGAAGGTAAAGGACCTGAACAAATAAAACTACAAAAGGATACCTCACCAAATAATAGAAGA